AGGAGAACCTAAACTTTGAGCAAATGATCAGCTTTCCTGGGTTTGTCTCCTAGGAAATACGCCAACCACAGCCGCAACCCAAACAACCAAAGCAGCGTCTCCCATACCTGGGGTTCTCCTCTCACTGCAGGCCTGGGAGCAGGCAGAGCCAATGTGGACATGGACTGAGGCGGGACCTCCCCTCCTGGTCAGGGGAGGAAAGGTCTCGCTTCCCAGGGTCAGGCCTAGGGGGCGCCAGAGGCCCAGGCAGCCTGGACATCTGAATCTGGAGGTCTTCGCTGTTATTTCCCAGCTCTCAGTGAGTCGGAGGCATATCTGCTGCTCTCTCCCTGCCCAGTTTAAAACATGCTGAAGATTCCTGTTGGTCTTAATAGACGAGCAATAATAGGGCCACCAGGCCCCATAACCTCTGGCTCCTACCTACCCCACCTTCTGGTTCTTTCCCTGCCACCCTGTTCCAGTCCCTCTGGCTCTCACAACGGTCAGCCCCCACCACAGGGTCTTTGCACATTCTGTCCCTGCCCCTGGAATAGCCTCCCTTCCTCGTCTTCTTTTTTAAATCCTAGTAAGAGTTTAGTATTTAAAGGTAATAACATTTTTAGAAGAAAACATAGATAAAAATTTATCTCATTCATAGGAGGTACAGTATGTTTTCAAACAAAACAAAGTCTGGCTTTTTTCAGTTAGCCTGGTATGTTCAAGGTTCATCGATTTTGTAGCATGTATTAGTCTTTTTTTTTTTTTTTTTGCACTGGGATCAAACTCCAGGCTTTGAGCTTGCGAAGCAGGCAGTGGAACCACTGATCTAAACCCCTGGCCCCTGTATTAGTCTTTTTTACCTTTTTATGGCTGAATAGTATTCCATTGTATGGGCACATGCAAACAGAACATCCAATTGTACATCCAAGTTGCATTTCCCTAAGGACTAATGTTGTTGAAATTTCATGCATTGTTTGTATATAATTCATGGCTACTTGTGTCTCTTTGAAGAAATGTCTGTTCAAGTATTTGCTCCTATTTTAATTAGGCTATTTGTCTTTTCATTGTTGCATAAGAGTTCTTTATATATTGTGGATACCTAGTCTTTGCCAAGTATATGATTGGAGTATATTTTCTTACTCTATAGGTTGTCCATTTACTTTCTTTCAAAGAAACAACTTTTGATTTTATTTTTTCTAATCATTTCCAATGATTTCTGCTATAATCTTTATTATTCTATTTTTTGTTTGTTTGTTTGTTTTGGGTTTAGTTCACTTTCCCCTTTCTAATTAAAGGTGGAAAATTGAATTCCTGATTTACATATTTAAAAAATGTACTCATTACAGCTATATATTTCCTGCTGAGCTCTACTTTTCTGTATACTATAAAGTTTGCTGTGTTACATTTTCATATTCTTCCATCTCAAGTTGTTGTGGCCATCTAGCTCCTTTTTAAAGTTAGTGTTTTTATGACATATCATTTTCATTTTCTAATTTCCAACTTACATGTGACTTTGAATCAAAGGTGGGGCTTCCTGTAAACAATTACAGTTGGATCATTTAAAAAATTCATTCTGCCAACCTATGCTTTTTACATGGAAAATCTAACCCATTTACACTTAATGTAAATACTGAGAAGAAAGGATTTACTTCTGCCATTTTGATGGTTTTCATTTGTTTGAGTTTATCACCAGTGCTGGGATTTGAACCCAGGGTCTGTTCCATGCTGGGCAAGTGCTCTACAACTGCCCTAGCTTGTATCTTTTATGTTTCACAATTCCCTCACTGCTCTTATTGTACTAAATATATGCCTCCTAGTATACCAGTTTGATTCACTTCTCTTTTTAACTACTGCATATATTTTAAATTTATTTTTCCATCATTGCCCTGGGGATTACAATTAACATCTTAATTAAAAACCTACTAGTTTGCATGATACCAACTGACTTTCAGTAGTTCTTCCCCCTTTCCCTTATCATATAAATCACATTCTTTATACATTGTATTCCCCTCAATAGACTGACTTGGACAATTTTCTTTGAAATCAAATTGGAGGAAAAAGGGTGTTAAAGGCCTGTATCTAGATGTCCCCCAAGGCCTCGTGTGCTCCTAGGTGGGCTTTTTGGAGCTGGCTGGATCTGGGGCATGTGATACTGGGATTAAGAGTGTGACACTAAATCAGTTCACTGACTGGAATTAGCAGAGTCCTGAGTGTGGCGGAATTGGATTTACTGAAGACGGAAGCCCCAGTCTGGGTATAGATGGCACCACCCAAAAGGCTTGTAGCGTGGATGGGATAAAAGGGAAAGGCAGGCTGTTGCTATTGGATGCCTCCTGTGTGCTCTGCCACGGAGCGTTTCTCTTCTGTGATGCCCCTCTGCCCTGCAGCCCTCATTTGAAGCCAGAGGACTATGGACTGAAACATCCGCAAACTGTGAGCTGAAATAACCCTTTCCTCCTGTAAATGTGAGTGTTGGATATTTTGTCTCAGCAATGAGAAACATAACGGAGACAAAAGGGTTACAGATGAAAACTCCATTTACCCAGTCCTCTCTTTACCTGTGCAGCTATTTGACCAGTACTTCCTGTTTCCTCATTCGGATTTAGCTACTGGACTTAGCCAGTGGGAGGCATCGAGGGCAGCTGCCCAGGAGGTGGAGGGGGACAGAGGACAGGGTCGTCCTTGCACCCCTCTCTTTGGCAGGAGTAGCTGCAGTTGCCTTCCTGCAGCAGCTTCTGTTGGGAAGCCCCCTCCCTATTTCTGCCAGGCTAGGAGTGCTTCACGACTCCTGCTCATTTTCTTAACTCCAGCTGCACTTCTTGAACAGGTCCTTTATGAGACGCCTGTTGCCATGTGTTAAGGATCTTATGCGGAAACCTTGGCCAACCACTAGCCCTGTGACTTCCCTACTAAGGTGAAGGTCTCATCATACCATCTCACATGCCCTTCTCCTTTGCGGAATTCTCCATGACCCTAACTGTACACTCACTGTAGTGACTGTTTGATTAATGTCTGTTCCTCCTGCTAGGCTGTATGCCCTGTGAGGGCAGAGACTGTGTCTGTTTTGCCTCAACCTTGCACAACCTTGAAAGTTCCAGCAGAATGCCTGTCATATAGTAGATCCTTGATACATTTTTTACTGAATGAATGGCTCATATTTTTTGTCTTATCTGATACCTGGAATTCTTAAGAGTGTGGGGACAACGGGAACAAAAGTTTTTTTAAAAATCGTACCTCCCTGCCTGTCCGCAAAGCTGTAAAGTGTGAGGATGACACAGGAGCAGGCATACTGAGAACCTGGATTGTTACCTCTGTCACTTTCACTCAGGAGCTTCTCTGGGCTTGAGACTTTGTATCTGTAAAAAATTGGAAGCAGCATTCTCAGGCTCCGCGGACCTTTAAAGACCCTCTCTTGTCCTAGGCTTAGACCAGGCTGGAGTCATCCTTCTCCAAGCCGCGATCCACAGCGCCCTCTGGTGGGCTCGGAATGACAAGACCGGGGTCGTTTGGGCTACGGTGCCCTCCCACGCCGACACCCTAGGGACCACAAGAGCAGCTGGAAGCATCATGAAAAAACTTGGCACTTCATGGTGAGCTGAGGCCTAGATGGCAGTAGGTCGTGCACAACCGCTCTATTTTTGTTTTGTTTTGTTTTTACAGAGCTGGGAAAGCCACTGTGTTTTGTACAACATGGTATTAGACATAACCCAACAGTGTAGAAATGTTTGGCCAACGAGTACCTGTGGCTGACGGGTAAGCATCAGAGTGAGTTAAGCTTTTTCACATTGTCAGTGGCTTCCCAAACTCCCTTACTCCTGGGTGAGCTTTGTGGAACGCTTTCAAGTGGCTTCTTTTTGTTTTTGGTACCGGGGATTGAACTCGGGACCTTGTACTTGTGAGGTAGGCAGCAGCACCACTGAGCTAAATCCCTGGCTTTGTAGACCCCTTTCTTGCCTCAGGGCCTCTGCACTGGCTTTGCCAGGAACTCTTCTCCCAGCCTCTCTCGGTTCAGACTCCTCCTCTTTTGGCTCCCTGATTACTCAGGCTTTGACCTCCATCCCAGGCTCTAACCTGTCCTTTTTACTTTATTTGCACGTGCAGTCATCCTGTTGTTTTAGGCCAGCCTAGAACAACTGCTGTGGGGTTTTGCTCAGTTCCCAGCAGGGTCTGAGTGCCAAGTAGGTGTGCAGTGGTGGAAGTGGACGGCACAAGGCAAGGAAGAGGCCAGAGACCGATGTAGAGAAAGTCTGCAAGTTTACCCGACAGCGATCACGGTCACAGTCACACACAGGAAGTCATTCTCCACAAAGGCTTGCTTTCCCGGGCAGAGTGGGGTGGGGTGGAGGCTTTCTGTGCACAGTTCCTGTCTGAGTTCCTCAAGACCCCTGCCTGGTCTGCAGCCCCCAGGGACCCCGGCCTTCAAACCAGTCATGGAGCGGAACCAAAGCCATTTCAGGAGCAGAGGTTAAACTGGCCTTGTCACCTGGCACGTGGGTCCCACCCACCCAAGGTGGCAGTGGGTCTCGGCTCAAGATCGAGTCTAAACTAAAATGTTACATGGAATTTTTACGGAGTGTCAACGGAGAGGGAGAACAGGTTCCAGAACGGAACTGCAGTGCCGGGCCTCATCCAGTCTGTTCCTCCTGGAAATTACGACAGGTCGCCCGGCAGTGATCTGTTACTAGTTTCTCAGTTACTACCATAAGCGCTCCGCTATTCTGGTGAGGCTAGAGACATTAGAACAATGGAGACACACACAGAGAAATCTGAAGCCGTCTTCAAGGACAATACCTGCTTCCTAAATTGAAAAAGACATTCAACAGACAGGAGGCCGGAAGAAATCTCCATGCCACATCTTCAATAAAACTCCTTCTCCCCGGCCTGGCATCACATCCCTCCCCAGATCTGCTCTGTGGATTCCCCCTGCTGCCTCGGAGCTATTACTTCCTGAAGGGAAGAATCAATAGTTTCTGGACTGTTTTCAAAGTCAAAAGCTCCCAGTGGAGTCCAAGACAGACTGCTCCTCACGTACACACCTGCAAAGCCAGACCCCCCCGCAAAGGCCTGGCATGAGGAACGTTTCTGGAGGGGCCCTTGGGAAAGGTGGGTCACGCGGTCACCTTGCTTTTTAGTCATACTGAGTTCTGTGACTTCCACCAAGTAAAAGTTCTGGAGGAAAAGGAGCCCACATTCTCCCCTTGGCCTCTGGCTTCTCCACAGGAAGTTATCAGCGGGGATGTGAGCAGACACCTGAATCCTTGAGACAGGTGGCTTCCTCCAAAAATGAGGGGCTTAATATTTGCAATCAGACAACAGAAGGGAACAGTAAAATTCTGTCCTTCCTCTATTATACGGTCAAGGGCCAGGACCTACTGTGAGAACTCAGCAGGGACAAACAGCCCAGGTCGGGGGACATGCCCAGCTCTTCAGCACGTGACCGGACTGGGAAGGAGAACCAAAGGCCGGGGGGGAGGAGGTCCTGGCTCTGGCACTGCACCTGAATCCTGATTTTGCCGAGAACACTGCCACCCATTTGGAGTGGGACCCACTTGGGAATCTAACCAGCTCGCTGCACACCTGCATCCTAATGGTGAAGGACAGGGGAGCACTGTTTGGGGTCTGGAATGGGGAGCCACAGGCATGGCCCCAAACAGGGCTCAGGGAAGCAATACACAGCATCCCCTCGGGTGCCCAGGCCCCTCCAGGCCGACGACTGCAGATGCTGCCAAGTTGCCCTTCAGTTTGAACTATTCTTGCCCTGAAGGGGACAACTCTGGCTTTGGCCCTTAGGGGCCGTTCAACCTCAGACCTGCCCCTGCTTGCAGTCAGACACCCAGAAAGGTAGCCACCCACCCACCAGTAACCACCACACCACCAACGCATTCCCTCCCCACCTTCCGCTGTACAGTTGTCTAGCAAGGCACTAGGAAATGGTTCAAGTTTAGGGATTTGCTGTACATTTGCATTTTTTTTTCTTTTGTAAAAGGCACAGTTTTGACTTTAACGATGCTGCATTGCTCTCTGACGATGCCGGTCCCCGAATTGCAGTGCTCTCTCTGGTAATCCTCATTCTAGATTCTAGAAGGAGCCTCGCTTGGGAGTCTTTTCTGCCGGGGCCACTTCTAAAGATATGGCACTCATTTAGGAAAAGACAGGAGGGCTTGACAAGCAAACTTCTCAAGCACAAGGGCTGAGGTGGCAGAGCCGCTACGTCTCAGTCCGGGTGGCTCTGAGGTCAGCCAGCATCTCCCGGGCAGATTCGTGGCTCTGACTGCAGACTTACGTCTCAGTCACTTAATGGTTAAGGGTACAACCAGGGGCCCAGCTCTGATCAGGAGACTGATTTCAAGTGCTCCCAGTGCCAGCTGGTGGAGGCTAACGCTGTGGACTGAGATTTTCACTTGAGTCAGTGGGTGGCAGGATGTCACCAAACCCTCTGGAAGTCTGACAGGTAATTAAACAGGGACAGGGACACGTGAAGGGCTGCAACGGAGCTGGGTGTACTGGAGGTCTTGGAACAGCGGGTTCCTTTCTCCGGGGCCCTGCTCTCTGCTGACACTGGTCCTGTGCAGGGCCCGGTCCTGCCACTCCCTCTTCTATGCCTCTGCCCGTGGGGTTCAGGGTCCCGAGGCCTGGGCCTGCCTGGGCTGTATCACACTGCGCTGCTATTTGGATCACAGCATTCTAGAAGTCCACAGCAGATGCAGAATCCTAGAACCCCATGGGATGTTCGAGTTTGGGATGGAATCAGAGTTCTTGGGAAATACTAGAGTTCTATGAGAACTAAAACCAGGGTGAAGCCAGAGCCTTGGTGCCCTGCCCATAGGCCATGGAGGAGGCCTCCGGCCTCTGGAACAGGAGCAACTCATGGCACCCCTGTGCTCCTCTTGAGGCAGGTAGTTGCCTTGGAGGGGGAAAAGGAAATGGAAGCATGGGCCTGGCTGGCTTGGTGGGTTACCGACCCTTTTCCATGGGTCCAAGACCAGTCAATTATCCCCTAAAGCTGGTGGCTGACTGTCCGTGTGTCTGCAGAGCACTGGGATGTGCACCAGAGGGAGCTCCTGCGCGTCTGTGGCTCAGAGGAAGGTCTGGGGCCCCTGTCCTCACCCACAGCTGGCAGCTGGCCAGCTTTCAGGTTTGTGGCCTTAGGCCAAAGTCCTGGGACCAAGACACAGCAGAAGCTGGGCACTAGGGACAGCCACCCCCTCTCAGGCAGGGACCAGAAGGCCCAAGGAGGATTTCGCTTCTTCTGCCGCAGGTGGTGGCAGTAGATGCTGCCAGTGGCAGGCAAATTTTGCCTTGATTTCTAAGTGCTGTCATGCGGGAGAGCCACCTGGGGCCAGGCAGCTTTGCAGGACTCACTTTTGGGCAGCCCAGGACTTCCCTGGGATCCGCCCACATACTGCTCAAGGGGACGGTGTGACAAATTTGAAAAGGCCTTCCTGCTTCACCGTGACACCTGCAGGAATTAGGGCAGACTCTGCCTTCCTGTGGGGCCTGCTGTGGGTTCTGCTTCACCCACCCCCGGCTCAGTGCTGTGGGAGCAGGCAGGTCCCTGCTCAGCCCCGACTGCCCTCTTGGCCCTCAACCCGCTGGCCAGCACCTTGGGCACCATGGTGCCTGCAGGGGCGCGGCCTCCTTGGGGACAGCGAGGCAGCAGTGAGAGCTGGCGGGGTCCTGCTGGGGCTGCCAGGGGACTCGAGCATCAGTTCCGGTTGAACTTCTCCAAGACCGTCGAGTTGGTGTGCTCAAACAGCCACTGCTGGGTGAGGGAGGCTGGGTTGCAGGTGTTCATGAAGATCCGGTGGTCACTTTCACTGCAGTCCACGCAGCTGCTGCTCACAGGGTGGTACAAGGTCCTGTCCTACAGAACACGGAGGTCATCAGCGAGGAGGTGCCAGGGCCAGGGACAAACAGCGGCAACAGGAACAGCAATGAGGAAGCAAGGAGGCCACGGGCCGGGCTCCCGGAGCTGTCGGTCCTTCCTCCTGGGCACACAGCCAGGTGCTACCCGCCTCCCCGGAGGTGGACGTTGCCCCCTGGGCGTGGGCAGAGTGATGGACACTGCTTCCGGGTTGGGCCTAGCACACTGCCCGCCTCGAGCCGCGTTTCACTGGTCCTCAGGGGGTGGTTTTGCTTCCCATTTAAATGGACTCAGTTGCCAACATTTGAGATTTCACATAGAAATGTGAATTTCTGGCTCCTGTCCGAGCAGCAGGAAAATCGGGCATTCAGGTTTGGGAGTAAAAGAATGTGGGGGAGGACTGTGGGGAGAAGCAATGAGGCTATCCAGTTTTTCTTTTTAAATTCAGGGCTGGGAATGTAGTTCGGCGGCAGAGCCCTGGCCCTGGGTTTGATTCCCAGCACTACAAAAACAAACACACAGGGCTGGGGATTTAGATCAGTGGTTCCGCCGCCTGCCTCGTAAGCGCAAGGACCCGAGTTCGACCCCCGGTACCAAAAAAAAAAAACAAACAAACAAAAAACCACAAATAAAACCGGGGTAGGTGGCCGTGTCCCCCACTCCCGGAATGACTCACTTGGCGGTATTTCCACAGCTGGTTGCCCTTCATGCTGTGGCAGTCGTACAGGGTGACAGGACTCGTGTGGGAGATGGCGTCAAAGCAGAACTTCTTGGTGTGCTGAGGGTCTCCCGGCCGGATGTCCTCACGCCAGGTGAAGGTGAACACCTGTGCACACAGGGACAGCAGGAGAGTGGCAGCAAGGCCCTCTTTGTTCTCCGCTTTATTTAGAATTAGGGGAATTTCCAAGCACAGAGGCTGTGGGCCATCCCTCTGGTGTCAGCACCCAACTCCTGGCCAGGCCTGCCACAGCTCCGCCCCGCCACCTCCCTCCCCACGTTATTCTGAAGCAAACTGCAGACCTCATACCTAGACACGTCAGCCAGCTCCACGGTGGGGAGCCACTGACGTCCCCATGTCATCGAGCCACCGGAGGTCAAGGGCTCTCGCACTGCCTGCCTCATCCATTTCTTCTTACGTTTCTGTTTGGCTCAGGGTCCAGGCTGGGCCCACATACTGCACTTTTTCTTTTTCCTTCCCAGAAGCTCCGCTGAGGAGTGACTAGCATTCCCTAAGCTGCACACGTTCCAGGCGTACAGCGACAGACGTGACAGTTAAACTGCACTGTCCACTTCGCTGGCCTGAGGGTTAGTACAAAGCATTTCTGGGCGAGGCCTGGCCGTGTGAGCCCAGGTACTTCGTCTGTCCCTGACCTCCTGCTCCTCTCTGGCACTGTTCCCCTGCTCTGCTCTCCAGCTGCCATGAAGTAAGAGGCTGTATTCCCCCATGCCCCTCTGCCACGGTGTCTCTGCCTGGGAGTGTGCTGACCATGAACTGAATCCCCGGAAACCATGAGCGAGTCAAGCTCCTCCACTAAGTGGTGCTGGTGAGTCCTGGGTCTCAGCAACAGAAGAACTGACCAGTCCAGTAAGTTTATACCTGACTCACGCTTATACCTGAGACCAGCTTCACCATCAAGGCAGAGAACACACGCATCGCCCTCAAAGTGTCTTCCTGCTCCCTGCAATATTTTCTTCCTGTCCCTCCCCACCGCGTCCTGAGGTAACTACTGATCTGCTTTCTGTTACTAGAGATTCACTTGCAGTTTCTAGAATGTTATATGAGAGGAATCATACAGTATGTGTATTCTCTTTTGTCTTCTTTCTTTCACTCAATCTACGTTCACTGCAATTCATCCATGTTGTAGGAGTGCTTATCAATGGCGTGTCCCTTTTCACTGCCGAGTAATATTTCACTCACGATGTTCCACTTACCTGTTTTTTGACATCTGACTTGTTTGCACTTTTTGGCTACATACAAAGAAAACTGCTACACTTTGGTGTACAACTCTTTGTATGGGGCATGTTTCTTTTCTCTTGGGTAAATATCCAGGGGTAGAATGGCTGACTCACATAATAGATCAATGTTTAATTAATTTAAGAACCTTACAAAATGTTTTTCATGGTGGCTTGATGGTCACATTGGATTTCCCAGTAACAGGGTACAGTTCCAGTTTGTCCGCACCCTTGCCAACTTTTCGTCTGGTCAGTCTTTATACCAGGCGTGTGGTTATAACTGCAATTTTCATTTTTGTTTCTCTCATAATTAACAAAGCCAAACACTGTCTCCCAGTCCGTGGCTTGCCTTTTTATTTTCTCAACAGTATCTTAAAGAATTGTTTTCCTGTTGAAGACATCCAACTCTGTGTTTTCTTTTGATGTTGTATCTAAGAAATTACTGTTTAATTCAAGGCCGTGGATCCCTTTGCTTGTATTTTCTTCTAAGAGCTTTTTATTTTTTAAATTTTTAATGCATCTAATTTTATCTTTTATTTATATTGTTGGTACGTTTTAGATATGCATATCGATTCATCTTAGGGAATCTGTACCTGTGCCTGATCTGTCTTGTTTCTCCTTTTGTGCTCATTCCTCCCCCTTCCCTTCATTTACAAAAGCTTCGCTTCCATTACTTTTCTGTTTTTTTCCTTTTCCGCTTCCTTACTTTCTCCCTCTCCCCTCTCTACTCTCCCTTTTAAGAACCTTTTTTTTTTTTTTTTTCTGGTACCAGGGATCGAACTCAGGACCTTGCAATTGCAAGGCAGGTGGCAGAACCACTGAGCTAAATCCCTGGCCAAGAGCTTTTTAAATATAGGTTTTATGTTCAGGGCAATGGCTCCTTTTTGAGAACTTTTGTATATGGCATAGCTATATATTGAGTTCCTTTTTGTATATCCAATTTTTCCAGCACTGTTTGTTACATTGACCATCTTTTCTCCATTGTACATCATTTATGCCTGTGTTAAAAAAAATCAGTTGTCTTTATAAGTGTGGGTCTACTTCTAGACTTTATTTTGTTCCACTGATTTTTTTTTTAATGCTGGTATTGCACCATCCTGATGTCTTCTGCATAACAGTATAACTTGAAAGCAGGCAGTGTTAGTCCTTGAACCTTGTATTGCTTTTTGAAAGTTGTTTTGCTATTCAAGGTCCTGCATATTTCCCATGAATTTTAGAGTCAATTTCTTAGAAGCTTGCTAGGATATGAGAATTGTGTTGAGGGCCGGGGGTTTGGCTCAGTGGTTCTGGTGCCTGCCTTGCAAGCACAAGGGCCCGAGTTTGATCCTTGGTACAAAAATAAATAAATAAATAAATAAATAAATAAATTAGAGAATTGTGCTGAATCTATATATTGGTTTGGAAATAACCGAGATCAGTGTTGAGTCTTTCTATGACATGTTATATATCTTCATTTATTTATACCTCCTTTGATTTTCAAAGTACAAGACTTTCATATCATTATTTATCTGAATATTTAATATTTTATGTTATAGAAAATGTTTGTCTTAAATTTTAATTTCAGATTCTTTACTCCTAGTATATAAAAATATAATTGATTTTTGTATCTTCTTTTTGTTTTTGTTTTTTGGTGCCAGGCATCGAACTCAGGACTTGCCAGGCAGGCACTGTAATACTTAGCTACATCCTCAGCCCTGATTTTTATATCTTGTAACTTTGTTGGATTTAGTTATTAGTTCTAGAAGCAACTCTATATGTTCAACAGAATTTTCTACATCCATGCTCATACAGTCTATAAATACAGTTTTCCTTCTCCCTTTCCCATCTGGATGTGTTTATTTTACTTTTCTTGTTGAATAGGTCAGAACTGCTAAAACAGCGTGAAACAGAAAAGATGAGATCAGGCATCTGTTTCTGAGGAGAAAGCACTCAGACTGTCACCACGAAGCATGATGTTATGACACGTTTTTCAGATCACGCTGAGGAAGTTCTCTGTTCCTGGTTTGCCAGGAAGGGATGTTAGATTTTTTTTTTTCAAACATTTTTTCTGGGTATATTGAGGTATGATTGGGCTTTTTTGTTTGACTTTGTTAATATGGTGAATTATATGCATTTCTGGGACGAATTACACTTAGTTCCGACGTATTAACCTTTTATGCTGTCAACTATGATGTTCTAAAATTTGCTCCAGAATTTTTTTATCGGTGTGCGTGAAACGTCAGTGCATGGTTGGTCTCACAACATCTTAGTCTGGTTTTGGTTCTAAGGTAATGCGGGTCCACAAAACGAGCTGGCAAGTATTCCTTCCTGTTCTGAAAGAGCTGTTCTAGGACTAGTCAAGTCTCTCAGTGTTCGGCAGATTCTTCAGTGCGGTCACCCAGACCTGGCTGGGGCCCAGAAGCCGGCCCCCTGTCAGGCTCTCGGCATTGTCTTGCAGGTTCCAGCTGAGGTCTTCCGCACACCCAGCTTGGTCCCCTCCCCAAGGAGCCGGCTGAGCTGCAGCCCCTGCTCTCTCCGTGACCTGGGGCCGAGATCTCCCTAAACGACAGGAGGTGGCACAGTCGCTGGGCTTAACAACGTCTGGTTTCTCTCTCACAAACATTTTCACTGGCTGACGTCCACCCTCTTAAAAACCGTGGTTCATGCTGTGGCTGTGACCTGTGGGAGGCTAAATTCAGCCTCCACTCCTCTCCTTTGGCCAGAAGCAGATAGCATGGTGGTGGGGTTGCCCCCCACTGCCTCCTGTGTCCTGGGGCACCTTGGTACAGGGCTCTCTCCCAGGCCACACTTAGCGTGCGCCATTCAGGGTGGCGGGGTCCCCAGGGGCCCGAGTTCCTGATGGGGTCAAGGCTGCCATGCTTCCTACCCCAGAGGGGAAGACGGGCACAGCCGCACCCCCAGGTGCCCTCCTGCTGCGTGACTGAGCGGTCCTCGGGCACTGACACTGTCCCGCACACGCAGGCTTTCCCGAAGCCGAGCTCCAGGGCTCATATGCTACCCCAGATCTCTTCTGGATCTCTTCTGGGTGGGAGTGGGGCAGCCACAACGTGCACCGGAGAACTCAGAGGATCAGTCAGGGGTCCCCATCTAAGAACTGCTGTCAAGAAGGGACCATCAGGCTGCCCTGTGTGTCTGCCCCTGGAATCCACAGGTTGGAAACTTCACCCCCAGAGTCATGTTAACAATGTTTAGAGGCAGAGCTTTTGGGAGATCATCGGGATGAGAGGAGTGCCTGAGGGTGGGGCCCCTAGTGTTTGTGTTAGTGACTTTATAAGAGGAGGAAAAGACTCAAGTTAATAAGCGTGCTTTGCTTGCTAAGTGGTACTCTCCATGACCCTGTGACCTGGCCCAAGGCCCTCCCCAGGAGCTCGGGATGCCAGCACCTGCTCTTGGACCTCCAGAACCGCACCATGAGCTAAAGCAACCTCTCTCTCATATGAACTACCCGGTCTGTGGTGTTCAGTGACAGCAACAGCAGACGAAGACAGAGGTGTTACTGTTTTTGGTGTGTGCATAGTATAACCTTTTCTTTTGAGTCCTGGGGTCTGCTGCTTAAGCAGAATTAGTGAATGCTGAGTTATTTAGCAGAGGAGGACCACAGAGAGCTTAAAGGCAGTTTCCTGAAAGTGGACAGACCGGCTGACGTTAGCCATCCAGCCCTCCCTTCCGCTCCCCGCAGTGCCCCGCCCCCTCACCTGCATGTTGTTCCAGGCGGCCTCCCCTCGGCCCCGGATGCAGCTCTCCAGCCTCAGCGGGGCACCCAGAGCACCGTGCTTTGTGTCCGCACACAAGCCTGTGCCCACATTGCGGATCTGTGGGGGAAAGAGGGACGGCGTGGGCGTGAGGAGGCCTGAGGCCCACGGGGGAAAGCCAGGAGAGATGGCTGAGCGGGGGCCGTCGGCCGGGGGCCTGCCCTGGGCTGTCCAGGTGCCCCTGGCTCTCCATAAAGGACACGCACCTGCGGGCAGAAGCCTGCACTGTGCTGAGAGCACGCGAATCCCGCAGGGGCAGTGTGGCCAGCAGAGGAGGTGGTAACGCGTCCTCCTCCACTCTTGAGAACTGGAGCCAGCAGGTCCAGGATTCAAATGTGACTCTCATTGCAGGTGGCCCAGGTGTAGGTGGTCCGGGGACCACACCTTGGAAACCACTGGAAAAGGACATACAGTCTTTGCTGCAGGGCCCTTTTGGTTTTGCTCTATAAAGACAGGGTCTCGCTGTGTAGCCCAGGCCGGCCTCAAATCCCTATCTCGTCTCAGTGCCCCGTGGCACCCCACCCCGGGGGGACCAACCTGGGACCTGTGGCGGGTTATTCTACTGGAGCCCTTCCATCGTGGAAGGACTGCGCTGTGTCCAAACTACCATCTGCGGACTTAGAACGCCTCATCCACCACCACGGAATTCCACACAGCAGTGCTGCCGACCAAGGGACACATTTTATGGCCACGGAAGCGAGGCAGAGGGCTCACGCTCATGGAATCCACTGGCCTCACCACGCTCCTCGCCATCCAGGAGCAGCTGGGTTGACAGAAAGGTGGAACGGTCTTTCGAAAACAGTCACAGCTCCAGCTAGGTGGCAGTAGCTTACAGGGTTGGGACGAGGTTCTTCCAAAGGCTGTGTACACTTTTTTTTTTTTTTTTTTTTTTTTGAGACAGGGTCTCACTATGTAGTTGAGAACGAACTGGAACTCACTATGTAGCCCGGGCTGGTCTTGAACTCACAGTGATCCTCCTGCCTCAGCCTCCCGAGTGCTGGGATTACAGGCGTGCACCACCACGCCTGGCTTAGGCTGTGTACACTTTGAATCAGCATCCACGATAGGGCACGTGTCTCCCACAGCCAGGATTCAGGGGTCCAGAGATCAAGGGGTGGACATGGCAATGGTACTGCTCACTGTTGCCCCTAGTGATCCACTAGCAAAATTCTTGCTTCCTGTTCCTGTGACCTTATGCTCTTCTGGGTTAGAAGTCTTAGCTCCAGAGGGGAGAAGGGTTGTACCAGGAAGCATAGCAATGACAGCACTGAATTGGAAGCCAAGACTTCTCCCTGGTCTTTTTGGTCTGCTCTAGGGAAGCAAGCTAAGAAGGGAATCACAGTGCTGTCAGAGCTGACTGGCCCAGACCATCCTGGGGAGTTGGACGACTCAGCCGCACTGGAGGAAAGCAGGAAGGTAGCTGCAGCACAGGGGATCCCTCAGGGCGCTTCCCAGTGTTACCAAGTGGGAAACTACAGCCACCCAATCCAGGCAGGGTGACAAATGGCCCAGAACCTTCAGGAACCAAGGTGTGGGTCACTCCACCGGGGAAAGAACCAAGACCTGCAGGGGCACTGGCTGAAGGCCAGGGGAGTACAGAACGGGTAGGAGAAGGTAGTTAGTTCTAAGTACCAGCTACCACCCTGTGGTCAGCTACAGAAACGAGGATAGCACCTGTACTACTGTTCTCCTAACCTGATTGTAATATAATATAATATAATGTCGGTAAGGTTACCACTGCTTCTTAAGGATTGTTAAACCCCTGCTACGATGTGTGAGTTATGAAACATTAAGAGTAAGCATCCCCAGAGAAACTTGGCCTTCTATTCTGGGGAGGGAATTAGTGCGGTTCCATTTGTATGCAGGGCAGTTATAACACGCGAGGTAATTACGAGCTTGTCTTTGTAGTTGCAGACAGGCTTAAAGAAACGTGTCTCACGGTCAGGTTGGCAAGGGGCAGCCTGTCATGGTTGACTGTGCCAACATGAGTCAGAGAAGCTCAACTAAATAGGCTCAGTAACTCCGCGCCCTGGGGTGAGGAAGGCCAGCCTAGGGCAGCTTGTCGTCTGGAGGGTGTAAGGGGAAGTGAAGTAGGATGGATCTGTGTGTTTCTTCAGAGGAGCTCTGGTTTTCGCCGTCACCTTGGGCGTCATCTCCCGGCTTCTGGCGCAGCCCTGTCGGCCTCCTGATGCGGACTTGCGTGGGACACTGCAGCGAGCTCCAGGCCTCCGACCGGATCCTTCGGTCCCCAGGGAGCACACGGACCCTCTGTGCTCCTCCTCACCCTGCTCTGTGGACAGCCACCGCCAGCCGATCCTGGGAGCCCTTATATCCGCACACCTTGTGCCGCAGCTGTTTCGCGAGGAAGCGCTGACTGATGCAGGCGGCAGCCACTGCTCCTGGCCCTGCGTCACAACGGGTCATTCCTGCCACAGAGCTGTCCCGCCTGTTTTGTCTGAGGGCTGGGTGCGCGTGGCGGCTGTGCCGAGGCACCTGGGGTCCTGGTGGAGCTGTGTTCCCCAGGTCTGCTCCCGGCGGAGCCTCACGGTGCAGCGGGCCTGCCTCGGGACACCTCGCAGGGGGACTTGTTTGGAGGAGCCTCGGGACCCTGCCTCGGACTTCCTCGGCTGTGCTGGGCTCATCCCACACTGCCCACCCTCTGTGCTCCTCTCCCCCTTCACAGAGGCTGGGCCTGCACCTCAGGCTCAGGTCCTCCTGGTCGGCCTCATGTGTCCTCTCTCTCATCCTGTGTGGCACCTGCTCCCTGGAGGGGCTGAACTGGCAGGAAGACTAGGACGCACTGGTAAGAGCCCACTGGTGAGGGGAAGTGTGGGCCCTGGCTTACGAAGGGTCTCTCGTGTGCTGTGGTTGGAGGGACCCCCCCACTCCCCTGCTTCTGCCAGCCAGGACCACCCCTCCCTCCCTGGTGACCGCGCTGGCCTTCCTGTGTTCCGGCCCTTCCTACTGGCAGCCAGCCGGCGCCCCGTCCTGCCCGCTCCCCCTGCCGGTCGTGACCCCCACTGTCGGGGGGGACAGCCACTTTCAGATGAGGCCAACATTAGGGAGCCGAGTTAAGGAGCACAAGAGACTGACACCACGAGGGGCCACAGCTCTGGGCTGTCTGAAGCCACAGCGAAGCTCCTATGGGAGCCAATAAAGCCCCTGAACTGGGCTCGGGAAGGGACCGGGCTCTCCTGCTCTTCTTTCAGGCCACACTCCTGGATTCACGGTAGTGAGGGAGTCTCTCTGCCTGGTGTCTGCCGGGCTGTGACAGGTACCACATACACAAGGCCCTGTGTCTGGGACAGCCTGTGCTTCCTTTGAAGTCTGCTACAGTTTGCTATTATTATTTGAAACAGGGTCTCACTGTGTAGTCCAGGCTGGATTAAAGTTTGAGGTCCCTCTGCCTCAGCCTCCTATATTGGGATTATAGGTGTCTATCACGATTGACTTTGAAATTCTTGATCATTTTATCTTTGATCTGTTTTGCAAATGAAGGGGGACACCAGGGCCTGCATACGAGCAGGGGAGACTGGTGGATAAGAGCACTCACTGCCTCTTGCCGCCCTGCGTGCGTCAGAGTTTGCGATGCCCACAAGCGTAGACCTGAGGGGATTGGACTGGCGAGGCCTCAGAAGGACGCTAGGCGAGCGTGGGCCAGGGCCCGGCATCTGCCCGAGGAAGGGGGCGCTGGTGGGGTCCCGAGGCCACTCTGCTCCTCCCACCAGAACTCGCGGTCAGCTGTCCTTGCTCGTCTGGAAGCAGAAGGCCAAGCTGTCCCGTCATCAGGGAGCGAGACAAACCCCTGCGCAGTGTGCTGTACCACTGCACAGTAAGAAATGCACGAAGCTCGGCATCGCTCACTCACTCCCAACACCAGCTACGGGCTTTCTTTTACCACTACTTCCGCACTGGGGACTGAACCTAGGGGCTGTGCCACTACCTATATCCCCACCCCTGTACATTTTTCATTTTGAGACAGTGTCTTGCTAAGTCTCTAAGTCCCCCACGTGGAACTCAAACTCCATCCTCCTGCCTCAGCCTCCTTCTGTGCTGGGGCTGTGGGCATGTGTCAGTGTTCCCAGTAAAGTAAATTTGCACTTAAAACTGGCACTGTGGGCTCCAGGTGCAGCTCAGCGGCAGAGCCTGTGCTTGGCAGGCACAAGGCCCTGGGTCTGATCCTGAGCACTGCAAAAAAAAAAACAAACAAAAAACAGCCAAAAGCCCAACAACAATACCTGGCACTGCCTAACAAAAAGATGAAAAGTGAAATTCATGCTAATAAAGTTGCAACATCTCTCTATGTAGAATATTAAATGGAAAAGTTAAGAAGATATCTAGCAGGAGGAGGCTAAAGAGAGAACTGGCAGGCACAGAACAATTTCCATTCAGATCTCTCCGGGCTCCAGAGCTGAGAGCCAGCCTGGCCCCACACTCACCTCGCCCCAGGCCGCAGCTGGTGGCTCCACCGGTGGGTAGAACTTGGGAAGGTCCCAGGCAATCTTGGTCATGAACCACCTGAAACTCTTGCAGTTCAGGGAGCTGCGGAGCTTCTTCTGGGCTGCCACATCCCCAGCCGAGAGGTGGCGGTACTCGGGCCGGCGCTGGTAAATGTACTCGGCGTACTCGTCCATCCACACCTCTGCCACACGCTTCAGGTTCTGGGGGCGGGAGGCAGGCGGAAGGAAGGGTCAGGTGGCTGAGGTGTGCAGGCCCAGCGTGGGTGCAGGGCGTCCTGGGGGAGGATCAACGTGTCTCACTTACCGGAGGTCCTCCTGGTCACCCTACATCTCAGGCCCTCCACGGTCATGGCTGCATCACGACAGTGGCTCAGTGACAGCCACAGGCGTGACGGTGCCCCGTGCACCACGCTACGTGTGACCGTGTGGCCAGCCACGTGAGCCACTCCTACGTGAGCCACAGAAGAGCCGATGATGCATTTGCAGAGCCTGTCCCTGTCAAGTGGGTGTGACTTTCTATTTATCACTTAAGCCGGTTTTAAGTATATCAGGACTCACAGTTGGATAAAGAACTACTCTTGTTTTGCCTGTCCATCTTCCATGTCCTCCTGTTCTATGATGGCCCCCAGCAGCTTTTCTGTGGGGAATTCTTCCTGTCAGGCAGCTCATGTGGATGGGGGAAAGGCACTCGACCCAGCCTAAGTAGTGTGAATGTAGACAACCCTGGGCTCAGGGATTGGTAACATGCCAGTAGGCTGATTTTTGGGAGAATTGCTATGTGTCCGCTTGGATTGCTGGGTAGAATCCATGGCTTATGTCAGCAGGGCTGCCAGGCCATATGGCAATCACATGATGAAAACCCATCCAAAGATGAAATCAAACTCAGTGAGGTAGAGGTTGATTGAAGAACTCAATCCTGGCACCTGGATCTAGCCATCCCTGAAGCCAGGTCTACCGCAGGACTTTTCCAATTATATGAGCCAGTACATTCCCTTTTTCTTGAAGGCAATTTGAGTTGGGTTTCTGTCATTTTCAGCTAAGAGGGTTTTGACCAAATCACGTGGTAAAACTAAATTATTTTTTGTACCCAAAAGGTATAATTCCATCAGCAGGAGGAATCTGTAATAACCATGTCACATTTGAAGGTTACTGCAACTTTCATCACTAAGCACAAAGAAAACCAATAAAAAAATGGCAACACTAATACTGGAAAATCGAGGCAGCAGGTGAAGAAACATCCTGTTTGTAAACAGACTTGGAGACAGAGGAAGAATGAATTCTCACGTCACTGTGCTGAAAATTCCTTGTTCCACCCACAGCATAGACCCTGCCCAGCGAGGGCCCGGCTTGAGGGTCCAGGGAAATTTTCTGGGTGTCGTCAGGAGCCCCACATCTGGCTCTTCCAGCTTCATCTGTGTCACAGTGGCCCGGGGAAGAAGCAGGGTTACCAGTCGCTCACCTCCAAGGGCAGAAGATGCTCCCGGGGCTGAGGGCCGCCGGGGTCTGCAAAGGTTCACATGTTGTCTCTGCAAAGAGTTTGGCAGCCCACGTTTCAGGCTTTGCAGACCAGACAGGCTCTGCAGTGAGGCAGTCGTCCAGCAGCCGTCCAGCAGCCGTCCAGCAGCCAGACGCTGAATGAAAGGGCGTGGCCAGGTCCCAGCAACATTTATGGACGACCAGAACAGATTTTCGTGAGTCACGGAGCTCTCTCCTTCAATGGAAGACCCCGCCGGGCTCACAGAGCTCTGCACAGCCTGCAGATGCTGAGGACTGGGACGGAGCCAATGGGAGGGAGGCCTCTGCCGCAGAACAATCCCCAGCTGCCCCACGGTTCTGGTTTCACATTCGGGACCAGGAAGCCACCGAGTTTCTGTGCAGCGTCCGGCTCTCCCGGGCACACCACGTCCATGGCGGCTTGAAGACCGTTCAGGAGCAGGTTGGATTAGGGCTGGTGCAGGTTCTCGCTGCCAGGCCTTGCACGGTGAAGGCTGCCTTCAGCTCCTGCCTATCCCTGCAGAGGCGGACAGCTCCGGCCTGTGTCCATGCACCGTCCCACACACAGGTGTCCCCTTCTTTCCGTCTGCCCAGCCCAGTCCCTCGTGGCACGGTCTGTCGGTCTGAATTCACCACGCCGGGGTTATGTACTAGAGTCCCACGATGAATGTGCAGCAAACAGGTAGTAATAAATGAAAGTAAAACAGAAACAGCTCGGGCAGAAATCACAAGCTCTTTAACAAAGTAAACAACGCATCCCTGTTTTTTAGGATGGGGCTTCCTGAGCCACTTGTCTCCCAGATCGAGAGCTTTCCCACTCGGGGAGACCAAAAGAGGGGCTCGTCCGCCCGACCGTCTCCAAGGCCTCCTGGTCGACTTCCCCCCCCAGCTTCAGCCCAGCGGCATCTGGAGGGAGCAAGGACACCCTGCTCTGCTGTCACCCGGAGCGGGCGCGCACTTCTCACCCACCCAGCATGCCCGGGGAACACGGAGCGGACACGGCCGCCCGTGGGGGGAGACGGGGACGGGGACAGAGGCCCCAGGGAGCAGGCGGAGGCCTGGGGCCGCTGGGGGCCAGGGTCAGACGTAGGGCCCGGACTCAGCTCAGCGCAGCCAGCAGAGGTGGACAGGCCGAACGCTACTTACGCAACAGCTGCTCGCGAGGCATCTGTCAGGCGGAACGGGTGTGGACTCTGGCTCAGCCACCTGCGGCCTCCACACTCGCTCCCAGACGCCTGGCAATGCTGCTAACGTCGGCTGTCACACTCCGCACTCATCCGGGCCTCGGTAACAGGGGGCGGCGTTTCTTTATGGGGGCGCATGACACATTGTAAATGACAACTCCGGACGGGAAAAGGACGCTTCAAGGCTGGCCTCCACTTGGAGCTAGAAGAGTCGCGGACTTGGGCCGGCCAGAAGGTGAGCCGTTTTCCTCTCTAGCATCCTTGGGAGCCAAAGGTATTAATCAGACGAGCGAGTCCGACCTCGCGGCCGGCCGGAAGGCGCCTTGTGGCCGGAGGCTGCCGTTACAAATTCTACCACCAGAGGGCACTGCAGGCCGTTTCCTCCACGCGCGGCCCCCAGCAGCCCGATGCGTCTGTCCTTGTAAGTCCCCAGGCCCAGGTGTCCGGTTCTGCACCACACGACTGGCAGGGACAAGGGAGGAGGCAGCGACCTGGGTACACGGAGGCGATGCAGACTGGTGCCGAGCGGGGAGGGTCCCCGCAGCCACTTGCTGGCTGGCGATCTTCCTCCTCTTCGTGTTCCCTTTACGGGTCCCCTCGATTGGTCTTTTCTTTCCCCAGACACACAAACCCAGCGTCTCTGGTTCACAGATTTCCGTGTGGGGCCCGAGGCTGATGCCGTTCAAACGATGATGGCTACAAACCATTTCAGGATACTGAAACAGCTGGACACAATAGGTGTTGGCAATAAAAGTGTGGAGGATGGAGAGAGAGAGGGAGATTTATTAACCTCCCCTTCCCTGCAGGAACTTTTAAGCGCTGTCTCAGGCTTTCCCAAACACGCCACACCAGCTGTATTAATATTTATCCAACACGCTGCTTACATCACCCCGTCCAGCTCAGAAGCACGTTAGCTTTCTCCCCAGTGACACCTGTGAAATTCTAAGTCTGCCCGCCAGCTCCGGCCACCTTAACCCCTGACACCTGCTCAGATCACTTCCCGCTTACGTTCTGGTCGCCCTCATCTCTGAACTCTCCTGGCAGTGAGTGCTAAGAGGCAGAAAGCGTCAGCTTCCTTTCCCCAAAGAAAGAGACAGGCTGGGAGGAGGTGTGCAGTCCTGGGGGTCCCAGCCGTGACGGATAAAGCACGATCTGCGCCCCTTCGGGAGGAATCGCACCGGGAGCAAGCGACCCCCGCCACCCCTGCCCGCACCCAGGAAAGCCAGCACCTTACCCGGGCCAGGCTGACGCCTGCGGGGACCTTGTAGGGCACGTACTTCCTGTAGATGTGGCCCACTCGGGAGCAGGGGATGTCCTCCATGCGGCCCCCGCACATCCACACCTGCGGGGGAGCGAGAGCGGAGGACGGCGCCGCCTCAGAGCTCGGCAGCCGGAACGTGTGCGGAAGCCGGTTGCAGAACCCCCCGGGGCAGACACCACGGCAGCACTATGGTGGCTGAGGCCGGGAACTGAGTAGTGAGTTAGTGTGTGGGGCGGTACTGGGATAGAACCCCTGGGCCTTCACAAAGAGCCACATCCCTGGCCCTTTTTATTTTTTTAAGACAGGGTCTCATGAAACTGCCTAAATTGACCTTGAATTTGAGATCCTCCTGCCTCAGCCTCTGCTGCTAGGATTACATGCCCCAACATGCCTGGCTTAAACCCTGTGGACAGCTGAAGTGGAGAATTCTGGCCTCAGGGGGCAAACCCAGGGGGCGAGGCAGCATCCAAGCTCTGACCGGTTCTGGCGATGACTGTGGAGTCTGTGGTCACCCCTCGATATCTGTACCTCTGAACAGCCATCTGCCTCCTTTTCCTAGCAACCAGGGAGCTCCTTACAGCAGGCTGGGAGTGCCTAGCGAGTACTACAGCTCCTCCATGGGGACCAGCCTAGAGAGAGCCTCCTTAGGACCAGGTTCAAATCCTGGCCCAGCCGCTTAGCAGATGTAAGACTCTGATGGAGGGGTTTCCCTGGGCTCAGTTTCTTATGTGAAGGGCTAAAGGAGGGTGGGGATGAGCTGCCGGTGTAAAGGCCCACAGAGTCGTATTCACGTGAGACACTGTAATGGTCCATTTGTGGATATGACCCCTACTCATGGGGTCTGTTATGTGTCACACACTGCTGGGGGACAGGGCACCCATGCTCACAGGAAGCGAGGGGTTGAGGAGCCCGTGCCCTGCTGCCCTTCGCCTCAGCACGCGGGGCTCCTCTGCGCACCGTGGAGGACTGATCTCCTCTTAGCCGGACACTGCAGAACGAGACCTGTGGCCCCTGTGGGCCCTGGCTTTGGGGACCGACTGCCACGTGCCGTATGGGGGACAACGCTCGCCCAGCCACACAGGGCCCTGGCTCCAACCCCCAGCACCTCCAAAGAAGAAAAGCGGGGCTCTGAGGAGTCCTCATGGGGAGCAGAGAGAAGCGATCCTGGCACAGCTGCGGCCCTGGCCACATCTGGGCCATGACCTGAGGACAGAAGCAACCAGAGCCTCCGATGGGTAGAACCTGGAGAGTCTCGCCACTTAGGGTGAGTGTCCGTCCTGCGGTCCCTTCCCCGGGGGCGGGGAGCTGACAGGGGTGGTGGTTTCCAGAGGGAGAGCAAGATGGGCTTGTGTGGATGTGGGTGCTGCTTGGGAGCTAGGGAGAGGCCGGCCAGGCGGGCACCCAGGCGGGCATCACCCAAGTGATGGGAGACAGAAGGGAGGCAGGGTCTAGGGGTGAGGGAGGAAGGGCAGAGCAGACCAAGCAGGAAGCCCCAGTGCTACACAGAGCCAGGGCCCGGGGTGAAGGGAGGCTGGGGAGGGCAGGTGGGGGCAGTGGCCGGGCTCACAGGGCAGTTAGGGCCTCATACAGCCTCAGCCAGGACAGGCCTGAGCCTAGGCCGTGGGGTGAAGGAAGCCTGCATGGTGCAGGGTGCAGGCTAGGGTAGGAAGGCTGGGTGGGGCTCATCCAGATTCGAGGTTGGCATGGCTCTGCGGGGAGGAAGGCAGGGGCCGCGGCACGATCCAGCCGGATCTGCAACATTTTTATTAATCTTCGATCTTCTCTGTGGATAAGGAGCAGGAGTCGGGATGCACACAACACTTTGGTCAAAACAGAGCCCTTTCCCGCTCGAGCGGCTTGATGGACACCGGGGGCGGGCCTTCCGGTCCTGGTGTTGGTGGGCCTGGCGCCGAGCCTGCCTGGTCTGCTGCCTACCGCTGTCCCCATCCCCAGCCCAGAGCCGCTCTGCCCTGCTCCCCACCCGGGGATGGGCTGGGGCTGCAATCAGTGGAAGTGCTGCCCGGAGAAATGCAATTATAGTCTAATCTTGGGGGAGAAAAAGGACCGAGCCAGTCTGTGGCACAGAATGCTGGTCTTGAGTTAGTGGGCTTCTGATGGCGGATTAATGTCAAGGCCAAGCCAAGGAGTTGATCTTCAAAGCAGGCGCTATTGATCAGGGGCCAGCCTCCCACGACGGTAACCCTCCCCTCCCAAGGGGGTGACGTGCAAGTGCCCTTTTGTCCACAGATGCTGCCTGGGTCCAGGCTGGGCCTTTCGGGGTCAGAGTCACCTCACCCTGTTCTGGCTCCAAGTGTCTCTAGGCAGCGGAACGGGTGGGCACCAGGTCCCGGCTCTGCTGCTCCTTTGAACTTGGAGGAGGTGGCCTGAGCCCTGCCGGGTGGGGAAGCTCCTCTGTGCATACGGGGAACGGTTTCCAGAGCCTTCTCTTCACTGCGGCCTCTGGACCTTGCCCTGGCTATGCTGCAAGCAGCCTAAAGGGTCCCCAGGAGCCAGCGTGCCCCTGATCCTGGAGTCTGAGGCAGTACAGGGACAGGACTCCTGGGGGACTGACCTGGAAGGTGGGCTCTCTTCGGGGAGACACACACTTGCTCCTGCCCCCCGGTGTACCCTCTTCAGGCCCTCGGGGTCCTGAGGCTGGTGAGGAGACAGCAGCCAGGGATGCCTGACTTGCCAAGGAGGCTGTGGGCTCCCAGGTCCCAGCCCTGTGTGTGGCTGCACCTGAGGCCCTCACTTCTCACTCTCCCGGCGCAGGCCTCCTTCGGTGGGTGTGAGGGGTGCACCCTGCAGCTGTGTACCCCAGCGGTGCACCCGGCCCTGGGAAACCTGAGGAACGCTGGCTATTCCCACAGCTGGAGGAGGAGACTCCCCCCACCCGGAAATCACAGCTCTCTCCTGCAGCCCAGAGAAAGGAAGCAGTTCTTCACTGAGTTGCTCCAAAACCTTCCACTGACAGGAGACTGGCAGGACCGGGGGTGAGGGGGCAAGGGCCTGGGTTCCCTTCTCGGTCTGGCTTCTGAGGCCCTCATCGTCTCCCGGGCCGGCTGTCAGGAAGACCCCTGCCAGTGGCACAGAGGACAGCAGCCGGACGCCCCTTCGCCCAGAACACTGAGCATGGGAGACCAGACGGGCAGGCACAGCGAGGAGGTGATACTTCTGCAGGTCCGGGAGCGCCCCACCCGCACCCCAGGGCAGGAAGCTTCCCCACAGTCCTGCAGCTGTTTCCGGGGCCCCTCTTCTCCGAGAAGCACCAGGCCACTACACAAGTACGAATCTAGTTGTCAGAGCCTGCGCCTCATTCATTTTCATTGCTGCTTTGATTTATTTTATTAGCAGGCTTCTTTTGTGTGATGACAGGCTTCATTATGGTGTCTATAAAAGACAATCACTGGCTCTTATCTGCTACACGGAGGAGGGAAGAGACAGCTGTGAGGGGCCTCAGGGAGCGCAAAGGGAAGCGAAGACGCTGGCTGGAAGGAGCCGCCCGGAAGCTGAGGCCGGCACAGCCCCGGCCCGCCCCTGCAGCCAGCTCTGTGTGGAGGAGCCGCGGAGGAGCTCAGAGCCCAGGGCAACAGCGGGCTGAGTGCCGCGGTGTGCGGTGGCGCCGAGGGGCAGCGCAGAGGCCTCATGTGCTCTCTAAAGAGCGTCTCCGAAGGCCAAAAACATCCATTTCCCCGTCTGCAAAATGGGCAGATTACTGTGCCTCAGCCTCCCAGCGCTGTGCCAGGCTGACTGAGGTAACGAGGGGACACCGCCAGCTTGGGGCGGCGTCACCTGGGCCGGCGAGCGTGGTCATAGGGAGAGCAGCGTCTTTCTGACGCCCTCGCTGCCAACAAGACGGCACCGGTGTGCGGAGTCAAGCGACCTCACCCACGCTAGCTTTGGACGTTTCTAGGAGTTACTGGATCCAATTGGTTAAAAAGTGGAAAAGTGTTATTTTAGTTTTAAAAACGATTTGCTTCTAAAAACATTTTTAGATAATGGGGTTCTAAGCAAACGTGTTTGTGTAAATACTACACTAAACGTCTATTTCAACAGGATCCCTAGGTGATCACACCCTGGGAATGGGGGGCTGACTCACATTGGGAAACAGCACCTGGAAGCCACCGTGAGGGGGCGAGACCGGTTTGCTCCGGATCCGGTCCCCTTCTGCAGGGCGGAGCCGGGGTGGAGTCTGGCCGGGTCTCCTGGGCTGGGCAGACCTGCTATCTCCGGAGCCCGCCCTTCCGCCTCTGCCTCCCTGGGCCCAGCGCCCAGATGGCGGCTTCCTCGGGGTCTCGAACAGCTCTGTTCTGCCCGAAGGCCAAGGGCCCCCTTTCCTGGGGGCCCCACCTCGCTTCACCCTCAGGTCCACGAGGCCACGAGGATCATCTGCTCTGCACTCACTTCTCTGTCCTGGCCGTGCGCTTTTCTTCCCTGCCCGAAGTGAAAAGTGCGTTCAGTCACGTGCGGCCTGATCCTGGGAGCTCATTTTCAAACCGACCAAGGAAACCGAAGCCGGGGGTCAGGAGGGGGCCCAACAATGCAGAGCCCTGAAAGCTGGGGCAAGGTGCTGGAACTTGTGGGCCAACCTGCCAGTCAGCCCCCCATTTCCTCTGTGCCTGCACACACACCCAGGGCCCAGCAGCCTCTTGGCACCAGACACCGCCCACTCCCACAGCGGTCCTCTCAGCCGCCTGGGGGCTGCGGGTCACTGTCAGGAGCTCCTGACCCAGACCATGAGCCGCCTGTACCGGCTGTGCTGTGTCAGTGCTGGGCAGGGAAACCCCTCTCAGGGTTGTGTTCCAGGTACCAGATAAGCTTATTATGTTTTGACTAGCATCATGCTCACAACTGCACAGTGAATAAAGATTATTCAATCCTCATTTTATAGATGAAGTCCAGAGAGGTCAAGTCACTTTCTGAAGGCCACACAGCAACTGGCTCTTTGTGCTTGCCCTGGGACCCTGGCCTACGCACTCAATCACCTGCTGTTCTACCTCTTTACCTAAGAGTTATGCAGCTAAAGCTATACCACTTACTGAGAGCCTCTTTCTTACAAGACATCTCGACCTTCCTGGATT